GGCCTCCACCCTATAGTATAGCGATGGCCTCCACCCTATAGTATAGCGATGGCCTCCACCCTAGTAGCGATGGCCTCCATTCCCAAGGAGTTCTTTGAACAAGCAATGGCTAAATTCATCAATGCCAAATTAGCCAGCCCGGGTCTTGACACGTTGGGCGGTTGGCTTTGTGATTTGCCAGTCGAGCTTCTAATCTTAGATAAAATACGCGCAAATTGTCGAACCGACGTCTCTATACAGTGCAGCATGCAACGCCCAACCCATGCAATACTATCTTCACTGATCATCAAATGTGTCAGTGTAGTACAACCGACTTGGGTTTCACTTGTTTGGTGTTTGTAGTCGGTAATTGATAGATTCCATATATTTCCATATCATGTACACACAAGAATGACGCATGCTGGAGCTGCTGCAGCCTGTTTTGCCTGGGTATCGGGCAACCTCAAGCAGTGGTCGGCGATCATGGCAAGTTGCTAAACGGGGGTCATTGTCAGGCAATCCAGATCCTGACCCGGACAGAACACAATTCCTTTACCCAGTCCCGAAACTAGGCACACTTGCAAGCTCTTGGTAAGTGTTGTTACATTGCATCTTAGATTCTTTTCTTTAGAAATCTTTAAAACGTGTCACAAATGAGAAATGAACGGGAACAGGCTCCTTCCTCATTGACAGGGATGGTGTGTCTGAACTCAATGAACAGCGCTTGCACGTAGCCATACAAGCAAAATTCCATGGGATCTCTTTCAGCCTCACACAGAACATGAAGGCCGTGAAGGAAACTTTCTCTGGTCTTACCCGACTGATGTTCAAGCAGCAACGTTTAGCAACTTATGCCCAACCAAGTAGCCAAACATCCTAGAAACACAGGTCCAAACCCTGATGCATCCCGTACTCTGGGCTTCGGAGATGGACAGCATTGGAGGTGTACCGGTGTAATCACCCAGCCTTTATATAGATGCTTCTAGTCACATGTCATGTCACATAAAGGCAGCAAATCATGTAGGCCCATTCGGCTTCCCTTGGCCTGTGACTGAGATGGTCCCAAAGTCGCCTTTAAGCCTGCAAAAGCGACAGCGACACGCGGCGACACTGCTTATGAAAGGCTGTAAGGGTCACCTCAAGATCTCTAAGCCTTTTGCCTTTGACTTTCGGCCAGTCACAATTCGGTACAACTTGCACATGAGTGAGGGCTGAATTGATAAGTTGCCTTTTCAGAATTTCAACCTTCAGGGTTTAAGTACGATTTGTATCATTCTGATTCATTTTGTCCATATTGGTCTTGACTTTTTGCTGGACTGCAGTGACTGGAAATGCAAAGTAAAGACCCTGCCTATATCACTGGAAGGCAAACTAAAAACAGCATCTTCAGCATCCTCGCCCAAATGAGACCTCCAAGTTGAGAGGCAAAGGCCAAGTTTGCTGAATCAAAGAACGGGCGCAAAGTCGATCGACACAAATCGACGCCAACTTTGCCTGAGATGGTACACGTCACCAGTGGCAGCAGTTCGCAGGCGCACAACCCAGGCCCTGGTTCCAACGATCATACCTTGGCAAGGGGGGCAGGAGGGGGGCAGCTCTTTGAAGAACCTGAGCTCCTTGTAGCTTCCAAGCTTGCTAGTTACTCAAGCTGAAGAAAAAAAACAAAAACCAGCAAGGAAATGAAACATCTAAAGTCCTCTAAAGTCTAAAGTGTACTCTGCTTCAGCTACTACCCCCCCCTCGTCGCTGGACTACCCTCCCAAAGAACGAACGAAAGAATCAAAGAATACCTTTCTGCTTCTGTTTCTTCGCAGGATGATCTTGAGTGTTTGGAGAGCTAAGCTTCCAGCTGGGCTCGTATGTAGATATCAACTCCACCGCCATGTCGCGCAAGCTTTCGTTTCTTGGATACCCTGCCTGGGCATTTAAAATGGCAGACTCCCGAAACACCTCAGTCAGTCGGAGAATCTGAATGAATCTGAAAAAAGTTGAGGTGTCAGGAACATCATGTACGATGTGAAATCATTGCTGATACTTCCAAGGCAAGAGCTGACCATATCGGATCGAACGTCGTCCCTTCGCAGTTGAGAAACTCTGGAACCTGTTCCACAGTCTCTGGCTAGTCTATCCAACCCTGATGCGAGCCAATAGCCTTGAAGAAATGCCCTTCCGCTTGCCAATTTACGGCTACCCTTGCGAATAGGAGCCTGAGCGACAAGCAACCCTGCAACACCAAGCTTTGTGCTTGTGCTCATTTCATGTGCTTGAGACCCTAGCTTGCTGATTTGTAAAAACTGTGTAGTATTGAAGACTCTACAGATTGAATTCTGGTGCAAAACGTGCTCAAGACTCAAGACAAGATGCGTTGCCCTCATTTCACTCTAGTTGTTGAGAACATTGCTTACAGAGCTCCCACGGACCTGGGTGGCAGGCTCCAACACAAGTCTTTTATCGACGGCCAGTACAGTACACCGAAGCTAAGGCTAACACAGCTCAGTGTCAGTGCCCGTCAAGCTCAAGAGCTGTCATTGTAATACTTCCTTCTTCTATTTACTTTGCCAAGCAGCTAAACAATCATAGATTGAACATGATCAAAGAAATTCAACGAAGAAGGTAAATGTTCTCAATGGCCAGCGCCCTCGTGCAAGCTCTGTTTGTGGACGCATTGAATGGCAATGTGAATGATTCGTGCTGCTAAAGAAAACTACCAGCCCATTCAGGCGTGGTAAAACAGCTACAACAAGTCGCAAGCTTTGGTAACTTTGGTAGATATCAAAAGCCACCTAAGTGGGACGTAGTGTGCAGCTAGCAAGAACGTTCTAGCTTCTTGACCGTTGACAAGTTATTTTCTATCCTTTTCTGAAGGGGAATTCAGTGACGCACAGCTTTTCTCTGTCCGACCCATGTCTCACCCAAGCATTAGTCGATAATTTCGTGCAGGTCCTCTTTGAATTAAATGGAGGACAATCCATGACAACGCTTGTCAAGGCTCAGCCCGCAAATCAAACAGTTCTGTACAGGCGCGTCACTTGGACTGGTGCCGGCGGAGGCGCTTGCAGACCTGTGCAGCGCGGCGGTCAAACGTGCTTTCAAGGCCTATCATGATAGTACTCTACCCATCGTTCTCAGCGCAACAAGGAACAGCAAATGCAAATGAACAACAATGCAGCCAAAACTGCTTACTGCAAATTCTCACAGGCATGCGCCTGCTCCCCTTTGCGAATGTTTGCCGCTAGAAGTTCGTCCTCTGTATCTTCTGGCCAGGTGTCCATTGTGCTGGCTAGGAGTGCTTCGATCGGAGGAATGGCCCTGTCAGTTGCGAGCTTAACCAGCGCCACACACAAGCATAGGAAAAAAGAAAAGCTGAGCAAAACAGTGATGAAGGAACAGTTCAGTCCATGACACCATGGACCAAACCCAGCCATAGGCCTCCTCTGTCTCTCTTCAATGTTGTCAAGGCCTTGCTTCAAGCGGTCCAGCTCGCTGACATGGTCCTCCCACATTATGTGCATCTTGGGAATCCATATTACAGAAGGTATTGAATAACGAAAGGCTTGCACAGATTTTGGGGCCTTTGTCTCAGCAAGCTGCTTCTGAATGCGCTGCAATTGCTCCAGGACCTCCTGCTTAAAGTGGGCCACGCCACGCTGAGCAGCATCGGCCTTTGAAATCTATCTCAACATGTCCCAAAATGCAATGTCTTTGGGTGAAGCTTAGACAAATTCAATGCCTCTTGAGTCACAGCCGCTCTCCGCAGCTGGAGCAACTCCTGCAGTGCAAATGCAGATGTGAGCTGAGACAGCTTATCTCACATTCGGAGCAACTCACCCTGGTTCCCCCCAACCATCCTAGAACAATACAAACAAGCAAGGCGATCACCTAATCGTCAATGAATCAATTAGAACTCATAGCCAACCGCCGGAAGTCAATTGAACTGCCCAGACTCGAGCATGGGCTGGACGAAGGGGAAAGCAATAGCAGTCCTCCTCCTGAGATCTTAGGATTGAATCGCACTCAGCCTGCAAAGTTGACGTCTGGGGCATGTGCTGTTACAATAAGCACATCATAGCACATCTATTTGGCATCACAGTTCGTACCTTAAAACGCTGAAGAACCTCGCTTTTGCGCTTTTCTTCCTCTTCCAAATGTCGGTGGAGCTCTGTCTCCAGATCCTGGCACCTGGCTTTGTTGTGAAAAGTCACGAAGCTGAAGTTGTGTGCAAGGGTAGGTAGGACTGGGCTGTACAAAACAGTTTCATGGCAACAGGATGAGACAACAAAGGCGCCATGAATAATTGACAAATCAGCGGCTTTCACGCCTTGCTTTGAGCTGAGCCAACCTGGCTGACTTCTTGGGAACTTTCTGAGGAGCTTCAGGTGTCAGCTTACCATTCAGTGCCTGAAGATCCAACTGCCCTATTCAGTTGTCTGTGGCATTTCACTCTTCAACATGAAATACATAGCTGATGACAAGTGAAATGAGGGCTTCGCATCCTGGTCCAAGCCCCACTTTGTAGCATTCACTGCCAGCCGCTTCAGGATGCTGTCCTGATGAGAGTGTAGTTGGACCACGACCCCTGCCACGCTGTGTGGTTTTCTTACGATTTTAAGGTCTTTTGTCTCATGTTGTCTGCTGTTCTTCTCTCCTTTCAAAGTCTTTCTTTGCTTCTATTACACCATGAATTTATATGATACCTCAGGCCTACCACTTCTACACTACGCTACCCACCTCGGTTGCTAGCTGAGTGGGTGGGGATGTTAACGTTCGCTTCTAAGTGCACACCCATTCTACAATTCTTCAGGATACTCTTCTACATACTCTTCTACGCCACGCTACTAATGACTTGTTGAACGAACTTTGGGTTGGGCACCGTGTAGTTACACTAAGATTGTTTCTTTTCAGCTTGATCTGGTCATGTCTGCCTAAATGCATTATTTTTAGCAGCTGAGTCTGTGATAGGTCGTCATGATGATTGCAGGTGACAGCAGCAAAAAGCCAAGTATCTGCCATCTGGTGCGCAATCCGTTTTAACTCTGGCAAATGAGGTTGCTCATCTCGATGTCCTGTAATGCAACAAATGGTTCAAGAACCAAGGCATTGGCTCGACAATTAACGGCCTTTCCTGAAGAAGCTTTTCCTCTGCTTGCCAGCTTTGCCAAATATCGATCAATCTCCTTGCCAAAAATCGTATGAAACTCCTGAGCAGCAATTTAGGAAAATGTGACCACCAGTCAGCAGTCTGATCTCCTGCAAAGACATTGCGCTTTTCACTGCAAAAGCCCGTGGCAAACCCATCCTTGAGATTAATTTAATGCCACGGAAGCAGAAGCATGCACATGAGGGGTCTCTGCTTCTCAACCGGGACTGGAACAAGTGAAAAACATGCCTGGACATTGAACAATTCTCTTTTTGGCTCTTCCTTTGGAATTACAGTTCGGAGCATCCGATGAGAAAGGAATGCATCTTGCCAGGTATTCTGGCAAATTACACAGCTTGCTTACTCAGCCAATCTTCAAGTGCAAGCATAGTAGTTTCCAATGATGCCCGCTCATCTCCATCTCCATGCTTTTGGGCAGCACCACGTATAATCTCGGCAAGCTCCTCCGCCGAAGCGGAAAAGCCAGCACCACGCATCAGCTTCTCCAGCTCTGAGGGACTTCGCCTTTCAGTGAAATCTTTTGGCATCAAACCTAAAGATTGAAATCTTGTTGGAGTGATGAGACTCGCGGCATTCAAGTCGTCACCATAGTTTACAGCGTTTGCAACTGACCTCTTCTCTGGCGGAGGAGCAGCCTTGTCATACCGGACCGATGGTATACCCAGTCCAGAATCTGTCTCAAAGTTTCGGCGCCCTTTCACTATACACTTGCCCAAGTCATTGTCAGGCATCTGCTCCAGCAAGGAATACGCCCCTTTGATGAGTGAACCAGCACTAATTGGATCACTGCTTGTAGGCTTTCCAAAGGCATGGTGGGATGGGAGACCTCTTTGGGATTGCAATTGCATCAAATTCCGACTGGTTCCAAGCTGGTCAGAAGTCACTTCCTGAAAGTTGGCCAAAGTGTCCTTGACAATGAGCGTGCTGGGAACTGACAGCGGCTCCTCTCCGCAATCCATGCTTAGGGCCGACTTGGCGCCAGCTCCGCTAGCGACTGTTGTGTCACCATGCCCGAATCGAAAGATCGGATTCTTCACATAGTTGGGCCATTCATATTTGCGATCTAACCCTTCACCAGGATCAGTACTACCATGAGTTCGCTTGTACAAAGCCTTGACTTCAGCACTTTCTGCAGTCCGGTCTCTTGGAAACATGACATCCTTGGCGCCCTTCTGTGACCGATCTAGTGGTCTTCCAAAGCCTGGAAAGTCTGAGGCAGAAACCTGTTGCGGCAAAACATGTCCACGGAGAAATGGCTTTGCCAAAGGTTCTTTTTTTTGTGCTTTGATAAACATCTTCTGCCCTGGCATTAATGTACTCTGCTACTCCAAACTGCTGTCCAGACCGAAAATTCTGTGCGACATCTTCATCCTTGTTAGTCTTGATGCCATAGCCAGGTCCTGGATGCGGGATGGAGAGACTCTTCAGCCCCCAATGCAAGCCCATCTCTCCTGGCTCCCCCTTCTGTCGATGCCTGCGTTGGGTTGCTGTCATCGAAGTAGGAGAACGCGGTGAGGGGACGACAACTACATGAGCTCGAGCTCCAAAAGCCATTTCACCAGCTTTGCCGGCGGGTAAAATGCCTGGTGCTGGATCTGTTCTACAATAGCTGGCAGGGGCTCCATAATTTGGCGGATTCACTGCAGGATTGCTCGCAGTTGCTGTAGCCTTGCCCAGCACTTCCTGCCCCGTGCGCTGCAGCCTGTCCAGCCTGTCCCCTTCACTCTCCCTTGGAGTGAACCATGCTGGTCTTGGCCCACGGCCAGACAGCATCTTCCAAAGCCGCCACACCAAAAGTAGTGGGGTGACTACTGGGCGCTTGAGATGAAAGTTGAATTAAACGCAAAGAAGACTTCTGCTCAAACATGCACAAAAACATCGGCTTCCAAAACACTATATATATATATATCTTCTCTACTGCACACTGCAAACAGCATCGCAATTTGACTTTCCCCTGTTGCAGAAGGACCTTTTCACTCAAACTCTTCAATGTCAGTGCGCGAACAACCTGCTTTGGATTGTGAATGGCAAAAACCGTGTGTGAGTGTGGCAAAGCAAAAGCAAGACTGCGGAGGGTGTAATGTTACGCTCTCGCTGCTTCTCTATTCTCTGAACATTTCTGCACCCAGCCTCAGCCTCCACCGTCGCAGCAATAGCTTCTTCACGCGTTCCCTCCAAACTTCAAGTGCTACAAATCAGGCAACGTTTGAACGGTACTCCTATCTCGATTCCTAATCTTTGTGGCTGCACATTGGATGTACTCAATCGACTCGTTCTGCAAGTATGGCACAATGAAGCTGAGTTTGCGGACCAGAGACAGAACTCCTCCAAACTCGACATTAAGGAATCCTATAGGCTATGGCATGCACACCCGGCACACCCAGCAGGCGATAAAATGCAAGGATCAATACAGATCAACACCTTCACTCCAGTGATGAGAAAACCTGCCCATGCTCCTCCCACTGGAGTGGCTGCCCACTTTACAAAAGCCCTTGCTGCAACTTGAGCTGCCTCACGCACGAAGGAAAAAACATAAACCGACCAAATGAAGGGACTCGTGCTGGGGAAGGGAGAAGCCCTCGCTGCTCTCACAGCATGAAACACATAAATGACTTTACTTCGAATGATCCCCACCATGGCATTATATACTGCTGATAGCTGACGGCTATATTGCTTCAACATCACAAAGAAAGTGCCAAGTACCAAGTAAGTGTCTATTTTGCATATGTATTGGCATAATTATGGCATTCTATCTAATATATTCTGGAGTTCTATGTGGCATAATTATACTTGAGAAGAAGGAGACCCGAAAGGTAGGAAAACCGGAAGGCAGAAGGGCAGGACCAAAAGGCGTTCTAAGCAGCGACGTCGATGTCGGCTCCTGATCTCCGGTACCCTGGACAAACGGAATTTGAAAAAGAAAGGAACAACAACAACAACAAGAGCGTTTAGGTGTAGAGTTACTCTGGCGTAAGGCGTGCTTGCATGATGAGGAATATGTAAAGCAAAGAGAAGCGGGAGAGGGTGAAAAAGAATGTGACGAACGTGGCAAAAAAAGGATGGGGTGAACGATGAAACACGCTTAGAGGTACCGTTTCGAAACAACAATCAACAATTGTGTAGATTCAGGTTACGCAGTCCCCCGCCGAAGAAGTTTTCCAGTCGATGTAAATGCTGGTTCATGTCAAGGGTTAAAATGATTTTTGTGCATTCCTGTCCCGAAGAAGTCTTACAGGCGGTATTTATGTCCATATTTGCAGTTAAATTCGTGGATTCCACCAAGCCACGTTCTACACCAACCACCGCTTACACCAAACCACGGTTCACACCAACCACCTTGTACACCAAACCACCGTCTACACATAACCACGGTTTTCACCAACCACTGTTTACACCAAACCACGTTTTTACACCAACCACCGTTCACACCAAACCACGTTTTACACCAAGCCACCGTTTGCACCACACCACGGGTTTATACACCAACCATCGTTTACACCAACCGACGTTTTACACCAACCAACGTTTAGACCACACCACGGTTTACAACAACCGCGAGTTCGGGACGAAGGAGAGAAGTGGGGCGGGCCTGTGTTGAAATATCAATTCAGAGTGGAGGGTTAGGATTGAAATATGAACTCCAAGGGGGAGTTGAATTGAGACATCAATTATTAGACCCGGACGAGCCAGCACTTGCTTCGCAAGACAAATTACTGACGCATTTCTGACGCTCTATCTGGCATATACTGTACTCTGGCACCCTATCTGGAGATGTGTTCTGGCATTATATCTGGCACTCTGCAGCTCCATCTGGCAAACATTCTGGAATTCTATCTGGCACAAGTTCCGATATTCTACGTATCTGGAACATTTTCGGACGTTCTTTTGACATAGACTCTGACATTCCTTCTATCTGGTTCAGGTCTGGAGGTGCCCACTGCGATCTAGCGCTCACGGTTCAGGCCCGGTGGTGCCCACCGCGATCTAGCGCTCACGGTTGAGGTCCGGTGGTGCCCACTGCACTCTAAGGCTGGCGGTGGAGGTCCGCTGGTGCCCAATGCGATCTGGTACTTGTGGAGGAGGAAGGGAGGAGGAGGAGGAGGGAGGACAGCGCTGATACAATCACCTGGCAGGTGGGGAATCAGCCATGTTCAGGCACACTCTGATGCAGTGAATGGCGAGATTAGCATCAGAGTTCACTGCGGCAAAATCAACTTTTTTGTTAGGATTTAGTAAAGCATTTGTACAATCAAAGGAACCACAGTAGCTAGTAACAGTTACACGATATAGCATGGACGCAACGAGGCTCAAATGATCAATTTGCATCGCATCTCTGCATGTTTGGCTCGTTAAGCAGCAAAATGCATTGCACACAACTATATAGTAGAATCATGTATAAGCCAGGAGACCTGTTCCCTTTTTGACCTCACAACACGCATTTTGAACTTAATTTGTAGGGTTCTGCTTGGTCACAGAGTTGACCGCAAGAACTGGCAACTTGCTATGGGTGATCTGGTGGGAAGCAATGTTTGACACCATGTAGGAGCAAGGATGCTACTAGGGGCTCCTGGCATCGCTTCTAGGAACAAGGGCTGTACTACTAGGAACAAGAAGCTACTAGGGGCTCCTGGCATCGCTACTAGGAGCAAGGACGCTACTAGGAGCCTCCTGGCCTTACTACTAGGAACAAGAAGCTAGTAGAAACAATATATAAATAGAATTTCACTATTGCGTGACAACTTGGTCGTCTTGACAGTTAGCAAAGCAGTCGTGCGCACTTCGATTGCCTCGTTTGACCGTGACTGGCAAAGCAAACGTTTCAAACGAAAGGCACCTCCTCCACAGGTGCCCCACATGCGCCGGCTCCCAGCAAGGGGCTCGCAACTTTTAGAGAAGTTCCAAGGCCAAGGCTCCAAGCCTTCTCAAGGGCGGCCTGCTTTCTCTTTTTGTGCATGGAGCAAGGTGGAATAAACTCGCAAGAGAATGGTCAAGCTGAACAAAACAACAAGTCAACCAGTTGTATCCAGTTGTCAAACTCAACCAAGTTAATTCTCAATGGAGTTGAAGAAATCAAAATACATCTCAAAAAGAGCACACACAAATTCTGCTTGGAAATCTAGCAACTTACGAAGCAATACGAAGGGGGCCTTCCAGCACCTTGACAACTTGTGCTCCCAATCTGTTGAGGTGTACATTGGCCTTAACGATCAGCACCCACCCATCAAAGGTAACTTCTGAAGCCGACTACAGCAATAGGATCTATGGGTCTTACGGGGCTGCATGCACAATGTGCTCAAAAAAATCCTTCAAGCCTTCAGTTGCCTCAGCCACTTCCAGCGCGACCAAAACAAGCAAAAATAGCCTTGCAAAATATGGGAGCATGCCGCTGCCATGCCGCTGCTGCCAGGTATTGTACAGTACTGCACGCACTTGCAAACAGAGCGAAGCTACACTGGCGCACATCTGTTATCACTGCTTCTCCTGGCAGTAAATCCAATTCACTCTGAAACCTTTTGACATCCGAAAGAACAACTGAAGGATCCAAATGGCAAGGAACAATTGCAATGAAACGGGCCTATGGGGCACTTGACTCCAGGTGAAACTTCGGGAAGCCTTTCACACGCCTTTTATGAATTGTTGCGGTCTCAACAGCGCACATGTTTTTGTTTACTGAACCGCAAACCGCCTCTCTCAAAGTGGATCCTCCGAGTGCATGAACTCGGCCATCCACGACCTAGAAAGCCCCAGGAAGAAAGTCCATGCTATTGGCAGCAAGAAGACCGCCTGCATAGGATAAAACATAGAAGATCCGGCTTCCATTCCACACCACCTCACAGGAAAATTCAGGACAACAATATCCTTCTGCGGCTGCTGCACATGCACAATACTATCCGTTTCTGGGCCTCGAATTTTGCAGCTCTGGTGGAGGTTCTACATGCATGGGGAAGTACGGAAGCTATGTGCCAGCAAGCGCCTTTCTGTATCTCGTACACGCTGCTCCAACTTGATGAACACAACTCTGACCGGTCATCTTGGAGTCAACCAGTCTTACATTCAAGCGTCAAGAACCAGTCACTCTCGGTTGCCTTGTTGGCAGGATTGATCAGCACATTGCAGAAGCCAAAAGGTGGAGAGGTCACAATGTCATCTGTGATGCACCTGCTTGATTCAAAGCTGGAGCGATATGGAAACAGCGCAGATGCAAATGGTTGCGTGTGGCTCCTGCTCGATGGGACCTTTTCCAAGGCTCCAGCAGCTGCAGCTGTAGGCTTTCCAGCTGCCACGTCCTCCAAGAGGCAACTCTATCAGTTCCAAGAAAACTCAGTGAAGAAAAGTGCAAACTGTTGACAACTCAGAGACAACACCCGACTCTGCTGGGAATTTGGATCCCGGAATCTTGTACATACGTGGATGCAGAGGCTAAGTCCAAAACATTGGAGTGGTTCAAGCCCAAAGGAATGCTACTGTGTACGTACATATAATATGTACATGTACACATTTGGTATCCAGCCTGTACACAGAAGTTGTGAACGTCCGTACTGGCCACAGTTTGTGCACCTGGACTTTCACCCAGCATGTTCAGCATTTGACAAACAGCAAATGCAAAGGCAGCACCTTCTGTGCTCGATACATGGCCGGTTCAGGATGGTTCCGGTCCGAGATACTACTCTGACTCTTGGCCGGTCAAGCTCTATTAAGCGTTCACCCATGTTCACCCTAGTCGAAGTCACGGCTCTGAAACTCATAGTACTGCAACCGCTGGAAGGTCCATGTAATGAAATGATTGGGATCGATGTTCAATGATGAGCTGGCTCAGGTGCTCCGGTAAAGAGGAAAAGCGGCTGCCAATTCCCACAATTCAGCTTCACAGCAAGAAAATGCCCATAGCAACTTGAAGCATGGCCTGATAGTGTGGCTCGACACTGTTGGAACCGAGATGAACGCCGAACTGAATTTTTAACGTCTTTCAATACTGTCAGCCGACATTTGCCGGTAAACAAATGCCAGTGAGACACCTACAAACTAGTCTTCCTCCATGACTACTGTACGCAATCATAGATTAGCAAAAGCAATTCTACAAAACATCAAAGAAAGGCAAGCTGTGACTTGGCCCTTGGTCCATGATTTCTGGACACAGCCGAGAAGTTTTGTCAGAATAAGATTGATGTCAATGGAAATGTTGCCTCGTTCTTCTCAGCCTCTTTCGGGCAATCTGCAGCAAACATATTGCAAACCAGTGGATTAGAACATATTCTTGAAGCATTCCTTGCACAGGCTACTATTTCACCTGACCACATCACCAAACTAATTCTTCAGCCCATGAGTGGAAGAAATTTCTATCTCCCCATATTTAGCGCTGATCTTTTGAAGCTTCTCCTGGGCGCACAACTAGCTCAGACTGCTAACACATCCTTCACATTGAAAACGACAACACCTGTTTGATTCAATAATCAAAAGAGAAACACTCAGACACTAAACAACAATAGATCAACTCTCGTCAGAAATCAATTGGATGTGGGTACCCTCGTAATCTAAGTTACTCTAACTAACATGTTCACCAAAAGGCCAGCAAAGGCAGCTTGCTTTTCGCAGTCTTTGGCTGCCGTCTTTGTCGCCAAAGGGAGGAATGATGATAAGTCCTGATCAGTGGGAACTGGGAACCAACAGGTCAAGCCGAGGATATACATATAACCCAGCAAACCAGCCTCTGAATTTGCTTCGCTTTCTGCTCTGGTTTCATGGCGACGTCCTCCTTCTTCTTAGTATGGTAATTCATTGATGATATTTCTTGATCCTGTTCATGCAGTATTTGTGGGTGCAACGAGCTACTGAGGTTCCCACAAGTGCCGGGGCAGATGCACTTCGTCTCACTGGAACTCGATAAAGGCGCTCAAACACTGAGGGTGCTATCTTTGGTGTTTTGAAAGCCTTGCATGCTTTCGCTGAAGTTGGGTGCCTTTCTTCAGTCTCTTCTGAAGGGGCCTCTTCTGAATCTAGGACGTCTACATCTTCGTTCGGATCCTGTCCATCCTCTCGATCTGGCCATAGATCCAAGAAAGAAACGTCTTCCACCGTGATCTGCTTTGGGTCTTTGGAGCTGCTTGGTTCCAGACAATCAAAAAGCATTTGGGGATCGCCTCCCCATTTTCCTTTCTGGCAAGCTCGCCTCAAAATGCTCAAAGTCAATATCCCATCACCTTCCTTGTCGAAGTTCTTGAACGCATTGCCGACAGAGCCATACAAGCCCGATGCCCACTCTTTAAAGGACATCAATACGTTGTAATGGTCTGGACTGAACTCCTCCATACTGATGTATCCCGAAGCGTCACTGTCAATGAATCCTTGTGGGCACAAATGGGCGGCTGAGAAACATCAAATTAAAACCTGTCTTCCCAACATTTCAGAAGGACTGATCAAACCCAGCTGCGCCAGGCCCCACCAGTGTCACCTCTGAAGCGTACTCTCCTGCCAACTTTCAGCACATGGAAGCACACCAAGCGTGACCTGTTGAAACAGGGTCAATGGATGTCAATGGGGAATATGTCTCCTGCAGCCAGAAACGAACTCAGCCCATGAGACCTGATTTGGGAGGTGAGTGCAGGATTGGTTCGGAAGGGCAAGCAACTATCTATCATCGGTTGTGACATCTTAATCTTAATGTTTAGAGTTGGACTTCTTCCGAGGACGTACTCTCATTTTTACCAAAAGAATTACTCGGCCTCTACACACGTCAAGGGACATCAGCAACAACACATGGCTACTAAAGTAGATAGTGATGTGATTGGCTTTCGCAATAAAAGTCGTGTATCCAAACAAGCTAGCGAGCGAAATATCAAGGATGCCCAATGCCCATAGCCTCATTCTGTCCATCAATATCCAGATGCCGCCACGCATTGAGTGGTGTTCCTCAGACTCAAATGGTGCCTAGCCACCTGCAGTCCCTGAGGGCTCCAGAAGCCCTAGCACTTAGGTCAAAACCATATATTTCCAATAGAATCTCTCTGATTTCATTCCAAGCCTCAAACAAGTGACAGCACAACACTACAGCATAGGCATTGATGAGGAAAAATAAGAAAAACATCGACAATAACCTGTATCCAGCCTCTTCGGAAGCCTGTGCTGTCAAGAAAAGAGGTGGCTCCTGCGATGTCACCAAAAGGAACCCTGCATACTGTGGAGTCAACAAACAGTTGCCATGCACTGCACCAAATCGACTCTGGAGGCGGTCCCACGTGTCCAACCAGTACAAGTCTGCCTTCAGCTTTTTGACTTTGCTCCAAACATAGATACGATGAACTCTATAGGACGTGGGGGGTTAGCAGGAGCTTGAAGATATGTAAGGCAAGCAACATAAAAGTGTGTTGCATGTACAAAAAACTCGTAAGTCATTTCGTTTGTATACTAGTGTAGGGCTATGAGTCAAGCCTCAGAAATGAATCCCACGTTGAAATAGTCCAGTGCAGAAAGCATTTCTGCCTCGTCAAAATGTGGCAATACTTGTCAAGGAGTTTGAGAAATAGCGCTACTAGCAGTCAGTGAGTCAGTACTGGGCTTGGATCGGTAGACTCGGCTCTTGTGAGAGCTCTGAGTGCTTGAATGTTCAACTTCAGTCTCCATTTTTCGCATTCTTTTCACTCCGAGTCCAGTTTAGTGTCAGATCCACCTGGTCGCCGCTGCACTTCCAACCCAGTGCCTGAAGAAAGCCAAACATAGCAGTTGGTCCCTCAAAAAACAGTTCTTGTATAATCATGTATAATCTGCAACGTGTGCAAAAGAAGATATTCAAGTCTGCGAATTGACCGTTTGTCCAACCGTTTGATGCTTGTGTGCATTTGAGTGCCTTCAAACATTCCACAAACTTGCGCAGGAGAATCTTCCGCTCGGAGTTCAGCAGAACTGTCACTGAACCCTCCTTCTGTGGTGAAGAACGGGCATCGACCTGCAGCTGAGAGGAGAATGGTAAGACCAGACCGAAGATGTTCAGGAAAAAAGTGCACATATATTATACGCATATTTAACTATAAGGAGGATGACAAAAGGTAAAGGCCCCTTACCTTCATGTTCATTCTCTTAGAGCCTAAGAGACACAGTCTCAGAGACACACCAATTCAGGAAGATTCCAGACCTTGGCAATCTGTTATCATTCCGACAAATTCAAAACATCCAACCAATCAAACAAAGACCCCGAAATAAAGGCTTTGAGTTCCTTGCCTCTTGCTGTCAAATCTGTCATTTGTCTAACGCACACTCAAAAAAAAGAAGCACGAACGGTCGGAATGCGACATGCCCTGAAGAAACCTCGGTGAAACGAAACCTAAGAGGCCCGTTATGGCGCTGAGATGTGCTAAGGTACGCATTTTCCAAGACCCATGAGAGAGGTTGTGATGCAAGGATCCTGCAGGATCCGACTTATGGCAATCGTGCAGTAGAAGTTCGAACAAACATGCAGTGAAACACAGAATTTGAAAGCACCACAACATTGGCAGGTATGCTGCCTAGCTTTGTTAGATCAGGTCACCAGCAAGATCCCACCAAACATGAAAAACCAAGAAACATGTCGACAAACGGCCTCCGGTTCCAAGGTTCACACACACAAAACATCGACTTGCCATTATTTTCGAAACTCTTACCCTTCTTAAAGTTGATTTTAGTCTCCGCCATCATCACTATCATGCAGCACAAAGGCACGCATTAAACACATTTTCAATTCACATGATGACTGAGTTTGCAAACATGATCAATTAAACTACTTGTAAAAGCAATTTTACAAATATGTGGAGAGAAAAAATAGGGGTTTGCATGGGATTCCAGCACTAAGA